AAAAAATATTATATAATATATTAAAATATACGATGGAAAGTATATATATATATATATATAATTATAACTTAATATATATATTAAATAATAATAATTAAATATAATTAAATTGATTTGATGTTTACGACACAATTTTCAATGACTAAGAGCACTCCCCTAAATGTGTGATAAAGTATGCAGAAAGTACAAGTAGTAATGTATGATCCGAGACATACGTTGGTCCATGATAACGTGTCAATTCTAATGCATAAAGATCGGGATTAGGTTTAGTTCATCCCCAAAAGGCAAAACAAATCTCTCAAATGGAAACATGATCATGTAATTGTAAACCCAAAACTTCTCTCGTTCTCTCTCTATACCTTCACTTCTCTTGTTTTTATATTTAATCTTGGCAGCTTTTTGGTATCAATCTGTCTTAAATTGATTCCAATTTGCTTTTTTTTTTCTTCCCTTTTCTGGGCCAAGAGGATTTTAGGGTTGGGTTGTGTGTTTTCCCGCACACACAAATATATTGAAAAAAGGGCACACATAGCTTCAGAGGTACGTCTTTCTCTGTTTCAATATCCATACTTTCGATATTGTTCTTGGGTTTATTTGTTTATGAATTGTTGTTTCTTAGTTCGTTATTTTGCTTCTTTGAATTTTGGTCGATCTCGATTCTGTTTCTTTGGATTTCTTATTGAATTGTCTCATTTGATGATGTAAAACACGATTTTGATCTGGCGATGTTTTTTTCTTTCTAATTTGATTGGACTGTTTTTGGGGAAATTGAATCAATCTTTGATCGCAAGATAGTGGTAGGCTTTATTGGATATGGTTTAATTGTGTTTTAGAGAAAAAAAAGGTGAATTTTGTGTTTGGGGGTGAATTCAGGTGTGTAGGGTTAGTAAGAAGATGACCGATGTTCGACCCCAACTGCTACAGAAGCCTGAGAGCACTACTGATGCCTGTTCGAATTTCGAGAGGGATGGTTCCGATTTCGAGAGGGGATTGGAAGAATTGATGAGGGGGCATTTAGATGATTGTATGTCATTTGCGTCTTGCAGCTCTCCTTGTAACAATGAGGATGGGAATGAGAGTGAGGGCGGTGATCAACTTGTGAGGAGGCGGAGAAGGTCAGATCTCGAGGGTGATGATCTGGCCGAGACTTCTGCTGCTGCTAGAAGACGACAATCACGCATTTTGAGCAGGTGGGCTGCAAGGCAAGCACAGGAGATGATCACTACAATAGAGAGAAGGAATCGTGAATCTGAGTTGATGGCGCTTGCGGGTTTGCATACAGTTTCTATGCTGGATTCTTCATTCTTGAGGGAGTCTCAGTCTCCTACCTCGAGGAGGCAGGGGAATGTTGAGAGGCCAAGCACACGAGCATCATCTATTTTGCAGATGTGGAGGGAATTGGAAGATGAACATGTTTTGGATCGTGCTCGGGAAAGGGTGAGGGAGAGACTTAGGCAGCGGAGGAGTGTGGACTTCAATACAAATGTTTCAAGCTCCAACATGTCGGAAGGCCGAGCAAGTGAACATCAAGGCAGTCTGGAGGATATTACCGAGAGTGAGAATGATTATGGGGCTTGGTCCAACGATCAAATGGAAACACATAATGAGTGTCAAGAAAATGATGTTTCTAGTCGTGAGCAATCTCCGGATTTAGGTGAAGTTGATGGGGAGAGGGAGAGAGTGAGACATATAGTTCGTGGATGGAGGGAGACTGACGTCACTGATCGTTCCTCTAGTGTTGCCGAGAGGAGTGGTAGTCCAAGAGCAGAGTGGCTCAGAGAAACCGAGCGTGAAAGGGTGAGGATAGTGAGGGAATGGGTGCAAATGACTAGTCAGCAGAGGGGATCTCGTGGCAGTCATAGGGAAGAGCAAGGTGCAGTAGTTCATGATCAGAGTCACGATAGGACAACCATTGAAGATGAAGGCCAGCCAGAGCATATTCGAAGGGACATGTTGCGGCTGCGTGGAAGACAAGCTCTACTTGATCTACTTGTGAGGGCTGAAAGGGAACGCCAAAGGGAACTTCAGGGTTTGACAGAGTTTCGTGCTGTTTCTGATTTTGCTCATCGCAATCGAATACAGGTCAGTTTCATTCCTCACCCCTTGCTTTGCTCGCCTTACACACCTTTCAAGCAACCATTAATATCTTGTTAGCATTGTTTGCATTATTGCAAATGAACATATGTTCTTGATTCATTATGTGATTTTTCCTGGAAGGCAAGATTCAGAAATGATCCCTGATCTTGTTGTTCTTGGAGAACAAAGCATGGGTTACAATTAGGATGAGAAAGGTTCTGTTCCTCCTCATTTTCGGTCCATTTCCTTGTTGCTAGATGCATGCTTCCATCTAACTATATAATCGGTTTCTACTTAGTTTTGCTTTTGAGCATATGGATGTACTTGAAAGCTTTCACTTTGTTGAATCTTATGCTGCTTCTTGAACGGCTTACCTGAAGTTTCAGGCATTTTAGTAAGAAATCAGTCATGGTTGTTAGAACAAGTACCGATAATATGAAACCTCTTAAAGGTCCATACATCGATTTGTTTGACATAGACTCCTTTGATTTTGATGTTATTTTTGTACAATTGCAAGATATTAATCAGGAATGGGATGTTCAAAATAAGTTCTCCATGTAAATTGCTTGTATCCATGGAGCTGTGCATGCATGTAATGAAGTTTTCTTAAAACGTGGTGTAGTTTGCCTTTGTTTTTCGTAATTATGAACACACCTCAGATGCCCTCTTCATTGATATATTAGCAATTTTATGCTTTTCATTAGAAATTTTAGGCCTATAAATGTGATCAGGTGTTGACATTTGCCTTCATTATGTCAGTCGTTACTGAGAGGCAGATTCTTACGAAATGAAAGGCCCGTGGAGGAAGAGAGGCTTCCGTCAGTGGCAGCTAGTGAGTTAGTCCAGTTGAGACAACGTCACACTGTCTCTGGTCTGAGGTACATTTTATTCAATAAAGCTTTGACTTGGGATCATTTCATACTTTTCAACTTGAACATTTGCTCCAAACTTCCCGCCATCTTCTGGTAATTTGCAACATTTAGATCGCCTCCTTGTGGCACAATGTTTCTTTTATGTTTTTTTCGTTAATGTTTTGAGCCAACCAAGGTAAGTTTAGGATGTGGTAGTACCTCAAACAAACCGAACTGAGTTTCATTGTGTTCATTTTCCTTATTTAAAATCAAGTCTAATTGTTTTTGCTTTTTAGTCCTAGCTTGTAAACAAACAAACAGTTTTCATTTGTGTGGTGGGGCTGTCTCTTAATCAGGGAAGGGTTTCGGTTCAGACTGGAAAACATTGTCCGTGGTCAAGCAAGCGGCCAATCTGAAAATTCTTCTAACAATAGCAACAATGATTTTGGAAGTGATGAGACTCATGCAAACACTCGACATGAGATTGAACATCGAAACCAGGAGCAAGCTCAGTCTTTGGTTCAGGAAACCGACATTCATCAGGTTTCAAATCATGGAGGAAGTTTGGAAAGTGGTGCAACCATTCAAAGTACAAATCAGCAAGCAAACGTCGGTGAAGGAGAAGATTGGCAGGGTCAGGTTGCTGCTGATGAGAGTGGAGACTGGCAGCAGCCAGGCTATAACGAGTTCAATGAATGGAGAGGTGGAAATTCAGAAGCCGCTGATCGGAATTGGCAACAAATTTCAGGTACTGATTGGCCTCAAGAAACCTCAGGGAGTGAAGTACGTGCACGTATGCAAGGAACAAATGAGTCTTGGCATGAACCAGGCTCACGGGAAACCGTTGAAAGTTGGTCCGAGGGGCCTTCTGGTCCTCCAAGAACACGGCGTACCATTCCTGTTAGGAGAGCCAATAGATTCCATGCACCAGAGGACGATAATGTGTACAGTATGGAATTAAGAGAACTTTTAAGCAGGTATTAGACCTTTGTTAAATTGTTATTTGGCATTTGAGCATTTTAAGCCGTCTTTTAGCAACTGATTTTCTTGTTTATCATAGGAGAAGTGTTTCGAATCTTCTTCGTAGTGGTTTTCGCGAGAGTTTGGACCATCTGATTCAATCATATGTTGAAAGGCAAGGTCGTGGTCCGATTGATTGGGATCTTCACAGAAACTTGCCTAATCCGACATCACCAGAGGCCGGCCAAGAGCAGCGTGGGGATGAAGACAATGAGAACCAACACGAAACCGTTGGCAGACCTTCACTTGCTTTACCATCTCCTCCAGTCCCTCCACCACAACCAATTTGGCACCATGATTTGGCTCATTCTACTTGGTCCCGCCACAACATTCATCGCTCAGAATTTGTAAGCCATTTTCTGTGGGATAGCTGCGCCTGATTAGGACCCGACTTTCTTGCTCGTCTTACCTGCATGTTTAAGTTGCTATGTACATTAATTTTTACTTGTTTTACATGTTTTACCTCATTACATTGTTTGCTTGGACACCATTGATTCGTGCACACAACACCGAAACGTTATTCTACCTGTTATATTTTCTGAGTACCTCTTATATTACCTATCATATTGCCTGCTTGCACACACCTTTCTTATATACCGGTCTTCACAGAAACCTCTGGCTCCTAGTGGTCGAGATAAGATCTACGTGCATCCTACCCCTCCCAGACCCTACTTTTGAGTGGGATATACTTGATTCATGTTCTGCTTTTTTGTTGTGATCCTATTTCTGGTAATTTGTGCAGCAGGAGTGGGAGATGATCAACGACTTGAGGGCAGATATGGCGAGGCTGCAGCAAGGCATGAGTCACATGCAGAGGATGCTTGAGGCTTGCATGGACATGCAACTCGAGTTGCAACGTTCCGTCAAACAGGAAGTTTCTGCTGCTTTGAATCGGGCAGGGAGCGGACAAGGTGAATATTAATGCCTAAACTGTAGTTTCTTACTCCCTCTATCTCAAAACAAATGTCCATATTTTGTCCCAAAGTAAGTGTCGACCTTCAACAAATAAATGCATACTTTTGAATCCTAGCTTTAGTTACGAGATGGATAAATTTGTTACTCCCTCTATTAGTAACGTAAAATTGTCATTTGGTGACTTAAAAAGTGTAATAATCACACATCTCTAAAACTGTGTGCCTTTTTTTATTGTGATCATTTATTTTGGCTGTGGGAGTACTCACTTTATATCACACACATACAGTAAAAAGAACGTAAAACTTGGTGAAATGTCTTGTAGGTGTTGATGCAGCAACTTCCGAAAATGGTTCTAAATGGGTTCATGTCAAAAAGGGAACCTGTTGTGTTTGTTGTGATAATCAAATTGATTCGCTACTGTACAGGTACTCTTCACTTATGTCCTATACACTTTTCGTTTTGATGGAATTGGGTTATTTGTCGCATACACGCATGGTAAAGATAAATTCTTTTTTACCCTTTCTGCAAAGAGTAAATATTTGCCAACCACCATGGTTACCATTAAAATCACCTTCTCTCTTTCTCAAGAATTTGATGGTAAAATTGGTGTTTCCTCTAAATTTTTTGCTTTCATAAATAGGAGCTGCCTAGTAAAAACATGATTAACCGTAAAATATGAGGCTTGTCTTGCCTGCCATGGTGGTTATGGTCTCACTTGACAACAATCCATGACTATTTTTTGACTTGGTGACTTTTTAGAATCATTGTGTTGACTTCTTGTTGTAAACTTACCATTGTTCTTGAAAAAAAAAAAAAAACACTATATTCTGTGTGAGACTAAGCGGATTTGAATAAATTTTGGAGATGTAAATACAAAATACTTCTTGTCTAAAATTGCCATTCTTGCAAAAGCCATGTTTGACAACCATAAGCTAGCTTACTTTTGAGCTTATTAAGAACCCCGTTTTGTAAGCCATAAGCTTTTTGAAAAACTACTTCAGATGGTTGTACATTGTCATCTAACTCATCAACTAGTTTTTACTTGCTAGTTTATCAGCCAACTGCTAGCTTATTAGCCAACAACTAGCTTTTCATCTAACAATTAGTTTGCCAAACATAGCCAAAGTGTGGTGTTTTTGTGCGGAGGCCTACAGGGGCCTTTTGGGGCCAAGGCCTCTGCTATTCTTTTATCTCCTAGGTAGGTAAAGTTTAGTCCACTTTGTTAAAATATTATTTTTTCCACTTCTTAAGTCTGGCCACCCCGGTTAAAAGGCTTGTGTTCCGCTATTGGTTGCATTTTTTGCAAGAACAATGGTTTGTCCGGATGGAAAAGCCAAGCACGAGAGGTTTCAGAAATTCAATCTCTCTTTTTGGTTGGGGCAGTTTACCAAACGCTTACCGGGTAAGCGCTTAGCAACAAGTGTCACCACTTTTACTTACCTTATGGGGAACATTTCCGCCCATCAAAATGGATTGATGGTTTGTGTTTTTAATGTGGTAAGCACTTACCGGGTAAGAGTCTTCACCCTCACTTACCGGGTAAAGCTTTTGATCTTTGTCTTCCCTCTTACCGGATATGATTATCGCTCCTTGTTATGTTCATCTGTAAGGTAATTGAACTGGTAAGTGCTTACCAAGGTAAGTGTTTAGTAAACGGCCCCTTATTCAAGAAATTCTTCAGAAAGAAGATCAAATAACCTAAATTTCCAACCATAAATGTTAAATTTTTATTCAGAAAAGCACAAAGATTTAGCTGAGTAGTGGTAATGGTGATCACCAGCCACTCTATCCATTGGGGGTAAAGGTCAGGTCTGCATAAATCTCATCTCTCGCAAACATATCTTTCAGGGATATATGGGGTTTGTTTGGTTTCATTGTCAGCAGTGTGGCACAAGTGAGGTTTAAATTATATAGATGTTTGTTTGAATGTAATGTGTTGTTGTGATGGGGGTACAGATGCGGGCATATGTGCACGTGCTCGAAGTGTGCAAATGAATTGGTTCGTGGAGGAGGGAAATGTCCCTTGTGCCGGGCACCCATTGTTGAGGTTATCCGAGCTTACTCCATATTGTAAACAGATTACAAACTGACCGAAGAAGAAAAGAAGAAGAAGAAGACGACTTTGATCATCTACTTGCTAAATGAAAGTAGGTTTCTCAGGTTCTTCATCTCCTCTTCCTCCTCCGTATGTAAAGTGTTCAGTTTTTTTGCTTTCTTTTTTATGATATCACATGTATTGTTATTGCATTATACAAACAAAAGGGATCGATTGCCGCATTTTGATTCATCGTTATCACATAAATAAAATTCCACATGAATTTTTCTGGGTTTTTGTTGTGTTTAGGGATGGTGATTTGCCCTGACCCGGTGGGGAACCCGGTTCTCCAGACCTGAACGGGGACGGGGATTCCCTGCTAAAACAGGTCCCGGGGCCGGGGATCCCCGGTAAACTCAAACCGGGGACGGGGATGGGGACAGAGATCCCCGGTATAATCAAGCTAAAGGATACTATTTACAGGGTTTGACCAGGGTTTTACTCGATTGGTTAACGGCTTTATGGGGTATATTATCATATTATTAGGGCCCAACACACATCTTTTATTTGAACGTGCTTATCAGTCGGTTATCAAGTAGTTTTATGTAGTTCGAAGACGGAGATTTAAAAATTCCACATAAACAATAATAATTTGTAAACTTGAATTTTGAAAGATTTCTAAAAAACAAGGCAAAGTGTTCTATCACATGGTAAAAAATATCGGTACGAATAAATTTACATGTGAAAATATTTGTGTTCGGAATTTTGAATGTCCGATTAAAAATTGAAAAAAGTAAAGGTATTCAATCAAAAATAAACTCAAAGCTTATCGGTTATTTAATGGAGTTTTAAAAGGCTATATCTAAACTATAGTAATTTGTAAGGGCCTATATCCGACTCTTGTCCGGTAAGCGTTTACGAGTGAGATTCAACACCTTCACATAACTTACAAGGTAAGATTCTAATATATTAAAACGACATCGTATGCAACCTTTTTATCCGGTAAAAGCTTACCAGGTAAGACTCTCGATCCTTGTCATTGCTCTTACAGAATAAGATTCTTAATCTTTGACATGTTCATCCGATAAGGTAAAATGACCTGGTAAATGTGTCTGGTAAACGGCATCCAAGTAACATCTGATAAGTATTTACCCGGTAAGAATTTGGTAAGTAAGAATTTGGTAAACGGCGCTAAATCAAAAGCACACTCCTACAGATTGAATGGTCAAGTCAAAGGTCTACCATAACCCTTTTTCTGAATTAAAACAACCTGCAGTTTCAAGTAGTACATTTTACATAAATCATTGGTCTGTAACAATAAATCTAACTAACATATAAAAGAAAACAAGTTTCATCAAAATCTACTCTTTCATTTTCTATTTACTCCTCATCACCATTTCTTTCCTCATAGATTTTATGAGTTCATAAATCATGAATATTAATAAGTAAGAATATGATATCTTACCTTACTTAATGGATTTATGAAAACCAGCTCCTTCCAGGACCAACTGCCTTTAGCTTCAAAACAAGCTCTTCCCGTTGAGCTTCTACTTCCGCATATTTGAGGCTCATGTTCAGGTACCGTTCTTGAAGTTCATTCAGCTCCGCCTCAAGTGATGAATCCTCGTGCTTAATTGTTTTATGTTCAATTTCTAACTCGACGGGCATATCTGACTCACGAGCTTTTCCCTCAGACAAGAAGCTGAAATTTGAATAATATTAGTCGGAAAGATCGATGACAGAACAAGAAGAAGAAAAAAAGCATATATTGTGGATAAGTGGAACCCCTTTGAATCCTTTCTAAAAGAGCCCTTGTAGAGAGAGAGACAGAGAGGAGAGGTTCCTACGTATATACAGGTTTAATGGTACGTGTCTAAAAGGTGGACCTAGAATTTTTTTGAAGCAGTGGCACAAATAATTGTGGTAATATAAAATTAAATAAGAATTAATTATACTTTCAAAATACATTATAAGACACCAAGGGCCTGTTTGTTAGAGCTTAATGGAACTCACAACTTATTTGGTCAACTATATATAACTGTTTGATAGTGGCTTAATGATATATAAAGTGGCTTATTCAGTAAGCTTCTAGAGGGAGTTTTATGTAGAAAGCCAAGTTTTTTTCAAACCTGGCCTCCTAATAAAAACACACACTCCTTCCATCTATGAAAAAACCTTTCGAAACAAAAACCTTCCCAATCTATACAGACATACTAATCCACACAAACAACTTTATACATACAAATTTTAATGGAAAACCAACCAAACAACCCCTAAGAAATTACACAAACTAGGTTGGGATTGGCTAATTCATTGATGGGTTGTGGGCTATGATCTGAGAGATGCTTATTTTAATGTTTAAAAAAATTGCAAAATTTATCCACCAAAACTTGAACCTACGACTTCCCTTCCTCTAAGAGCACTCTTATCATTGCTCTGCACCTTTGTTTTGTTTTATTTAACCAAAACGGTGGCACCTTTAAGAATCGTAATTCTTTTCCACAACCTTGGGACAATGAAGTAAGTGGTAGCACAGGCCACCGTTCCTAAGCTAGGTCAGCCCCTGATGTGTATAGTCAATGTGGGACTCCAACACTCCCCCTAAAATAGAGGCTAGATGGTACCCCCAAAGACGGAGACGAAATAGCGGATTGAGTCCCTAGGTGGTGCTAGACCCCAACTCTAATACCATGTTGTGACATATGTGGAACCCCTTTGAATTCTCTCTAAAAGAGTCCTTACAAAGAGATGAAAGGCTCCTACATATGCTTACATATATATAGGGAGGTTCAGGGGAAAACGCCAAAAAAATAAAAAAAATTGAGGAACACCCAGTAACATTCATCCGGACGGTATGTACATATGCATACAAGAAATTGAAGTTGTTTCTTGGTTTTTATGCATGTGTGCATGTTATGCACATGTGCATACCGAACAAATTGCTTACAGATTACTTGTATGACATGTGCATACCGTCCAAATGAACGCTCAACTGGGTGTTCCTCGGTTTTTCTCCTTTTTGTGGTTTTAACCTTGAACCTGACTCTCTCTCTATATATATATATAGGTTTGATGGTAGCCAATCTGTGACTCCAACATATACCTATATAAATAGATCATAGTGTAATTTTAACTTCATAATGTTTATGGAAGAAGTTTAGTAGATGGAAAGAAAGCTGAACTATGATAACCATGTGCAAACAAGGCTAAACTATAATCAGATGAGTTCTTTCACACAAACCTCTTAAGCTGTACTTTGTACATTTCGTTAGCCTCCAAAGCCTCGGCAAGTGCAATCTCTAGTGATTTTATTCTCGATGGTTCATCAACTGTACCAGCTTCCACATCCTATCGAGTGAAAAAGGCAATTTTAGGAGGTTAATACATCGTCATAACTTTGTTATGATCACTTCAAATGTGCTAAAAGTAAGAAAGAATCTGAAATGGTACCTCTGCAAGCTTTATGTCCTCATGCAGACTACTAGTACTATCTGATTCAAAAGGAGCCATATTTTTAGTAGCGAACTCATTTTCCTCTGGTTTCAAACCTTCCTTCTGCTCTTCGAGGGCTTGTTTTGTCTTTATGTATTCGTCTTTTTCCTCTTGAAGACGATTTATCTTCCACTGTAGTTGACTGTTTGACCGTTTCAGACGCCCAAGCTCAGTTTTCAATTCAGCATCCTGTGCACCTAATGCTTCTCTAGCAGTTAGATCCCCTTGAAGGCGCAAAAGCTTTTCTTCTAAGGCAATCTTATTCTGTTTATGGTCCTCCAATTCAATCACTGCCTTCTGCATGCTAGAGGCTTTCTGAAGTAATGAAGCTTTCTCTTCCTTCAACTGTTGATAATCCCCAGATATCATCTGTAATGAAGCTTCCAATCTTTCATTCTCATATTTCACATCATTCAACGAGTTCTTAAGGGCCAAAATTTCATCCTGCAACACTGGAATTTTCTGCAGTTGGACCTTAAGACTAGAATTTTCTTCTGTAAATTGTGCTCTTTCGTATTCACAAGATTTAAGGTTAGCAGCAAGCTCACTAACTGTGTTTTTCAGTTTTTCTTCACCGGATCGGGTATTCTCCAACAACTCCATTAATTTCTCATGGTTGGCCACTAGAACTCCATGGTTCTGTTTGGAAGTGGCAAGCTCATCTGTCAGAGCTAGAATCCTTTTTTCATATTCAACCTGGATAGTATCAAGCTTCTTCTCAGATGATCTAAGTTTTCCCTCAACGTCTGCAATTGCGTTGTCCAGTTTATCCTTATCTGCCCGTAATACGTGCATTTCGAGTATTGCTTCTTTGGCCATTCCATCTCTTTCATCATGGGTTGCTGATATCTGTGTACTCAGGTGTTCTAACTTTCCTTGAAGATTTTCAACTTCAGCCACTTTCTCCGAGTACATTTGATTCAACAAGCTCTCAGCAGTAACATGCTTCTCTGTGTGTTCTTTGAATAGCAGATGTAAACCATCAAGTTCTGCATCAAGCATTTTCTCTTTTGAGGCAATCCCATGGAGCATTGAGGATAACTTTTCTTCTAAGTCTTCCAAATTCTTTGACAACTTCAAGAAATTATCTTGTGACTTCCTCAATTCAGCTTCCAGAACCGTGCAGCGAGTATGCAACTCTAATCTTTGCTGTCTTAATTCGCTATTTGACTTTTGAAGCGAACTACATTCATCCATCAGATTTTCCGTAGTAGCTTCTAATTTGGGATTTGCTTTTTTAAGATACTCGCACTCTTCTTGAGTTTCTAGCCACCGCTTTTGCATGTCCTGCACTTTCTGTCTCATATCAAACTTGGTTGTTTCTACTTCTTTTTCCAGTCTTCTGATTTCAGCCTGTAGGTCCACGACTTGAGATTCTGAATGTTCTGCTTTTAAACGACTTGACTCTCTTGCATCAGTCAGATATCGCAATTGAGGTTCCAGTCCAGATATGCGCCCTGATAAGTGCAAATTATCTTCTTCTAATTCTGCCAAGTGCAGCTCTAACTCTTGATTACGAGACTCAAGCTCCAGTAACTTCTTTTCAAGAATCTTGTTGCCTGAAATATGGGAATCTTTTGTATCATCAACTTCTCTTTGCATAAGTTTGAAACTTTCTTCCAATTGATTATTTACTATTTGCAGATCAGACAACCGAGCCTCCACATCTCTCTGGCGATATTTTTGAGACTGAAGCTCCTCTTCCTTAACCAAACAGTCAGATTTAAGCCCTTCTGTCTCAGAGGTTTTGGCCAATAGTTCTTCATCCATGTCTTTAACCCTGGATTGTAATTCCTTAATCAAGATCTCAAGTGTGCTTTCCTTGTCTTTCAAACTATCGTCCACCTCAATTTTAACATGAGAAGGATCTTTCGACGTCAGTTTGATTTCCTCTTCACCACTTTGAATGTTATCTTCAATCACACAGAAGTTTTCCAGTGATTTATTGAGCTTGATGACATTGTCCAAGACAACAGCAGCCTGCTCTTCTTGATTGAAGGAATCTGAACATTCCAAAATATATGAACTGTAAAGAACTATAACAATCCAACTTTAAAAAATCACTTGGCAAAAATGTACAACAAAGGGTAAAAAACATGTTGAATAACCCGTGACTACTCATACACTCAAACCTTGTAGAGAATTTGAATGAATGACTTACTTGCATTTTGTTCTTCTTGTTGTTGTTTCAATAATTGATTCAATGCAGCAATCTCAGTTTCCTGCTCTCCTGCTTTTTCTTGGTATTTCACAAGTTCACTATCAAGATAGCAAGCTCTATTCTTGAAAACTTGCATTTGGACCTCCAGTTCTAGACACTTGCTTTCTAGATCTTTACAACGAATTTGTAGATCGCCAGAAGCTATTTCATCGGGCTTCATCTTCTTTGCTTCCTCTTTGATTTGCCATGTCCGGCACTCGAGTTTCCCGACCTTGGCATCTTCAATACTGGGCGACTCGGTGCTAGGACGCTCACCCAGTAAGAAACTAATAGAAGTGCCACTGGTCGAAAGATCCTTACTTAATTCTTTAAGCTTATAGAGGAGATCTAGATTTTCTTCAGTAAGTTCATTACAATCTCTTTCAAGCTCCAGAACCTTGGCCTTTAAAGATTTAACTTCTTCAACAAGTTCAGGATTTTCTATTGCCTGGGACTCTGTTTCCTTCAGAATTGGTGCGGCAAGAGCTTGTGATAATTTTGCTTCCAAATTAAAGATGTCTTTGTCTTTCAAGCTTAACTTCTCTTTCCATTCTAATTCACTATTCAATAGATTTTGCATCTTCAGGTTTCTCCCGAGTTCTATTTCTCGATTTTTCTCCTCCAGGGTCTTCTCCAGATAGAGGATTGTACTTTCCAACTTTTTCTGTGATTCCTGAAATTTCTGTAGTTCGAGCTCTAATTTCCATCCCTCTTTTAATTCAACCTGCGTTAGTAAATCAGTTTCCGGGTCCTCAACATGACCATTTTCATAATCCGAATCACAATTGACCTTAATCTTCTTGGCTAACATTTGTTCCGTTGTATACTCTTCTCCACTGTCTTCATGCTCACAACGTAACTTCATTCCTAAATCACCTGCTGGCCGTTCTGATGCAGCGAGACTCTTTATCTCCAATCTCTGCTTTTCTATGGTCTCTTCCAGTTCCTGGAGGACAGAGACTAGCGCAAGGTGTGATTCTTGAGTTTTCTCCAACTGTAGAGCCAAAGTATTATTCAAATCTTTCTGAAATTTTATTTCTTCTTCCATTTCTGCCTGGATATCATTTTTATCTTGTACCTGAGATTTTAGATAGTCAGCATCCCTTTCTTTCATTGCCGATTCACTGAGGAGAGCTTTCAGGTGTTTGATTTCATGTTTTAGATCATTACATTCTGTTTGTAATGTAGAGAGCTCCATAGTTGCATTCTCCAGGTTCTTTGTTTGATCATTAGTCACCTTCCTTGATAAATCAAGATCAACCACCAACTTCCGAGCATTTCTTTCCCACTTTCTTGCTTCTGCACGAAGTTCTTCTGGTGTGGTTGCTTCAGCGTCCATAACAAATTCAGAGGAACCAAAAGTTCGTAATGGTGATGCAGGAACATTATGTGAAATTTTCCCAGAGTCTTGTCTTCTATTTAAAATATTCTTTCCTGAACCTGGGCTGAAAGGAGAATGATTTGATCTTGGAGAACCATATACATTGACCGAGGTATACAATGTGCTATTTTGAGAGCCAGTTGATTCTGGTCTTCCAATCAGATCAATTGCACCTTCACTGAGGTTACTACGAGAACTTTCCCCACCAAAAGAATACTCCATCGAATCAAAGCTATGATGTGATCTCACTGTCGGTAAGCTTGCCTCCTGTTGAACAAATAAAGATATTCTTAGATACACAAGATTTTAAGACTAATGTTATTCCATTGAGTTAAAAAGCTTGTAGGTAAAGAAATTGAAGCAACCACAATGTCAAAAAATGCTTTCCCCAATTGTCAAAAGAGCAAAGGAGATAACAAGCACCACTATCCACATAAGTAATTCGTGTGTCTCTAACTAAAAACAACTAAGAACTCTTTTTTGAAGAAAACTCTACAGTTTTTTGATTGACAACCATGAGAGTGGTGTTGCTACTGGCCCTACAGTGTTATGAAAACAGTGAAAGCTAGTAGCTTAGTCAAACATGTTAATTGGATTCTCGAAATGCACATGTAACATTTATGACAGGACATCTAAAAGAAGAAATGTTTTGGTATATCTTTTATGGATCTATAACTAGCATAGCATAAAATAAGATCAAGAGTGGTGCGAAATACTAGATCACAGGAAGTTATTGACCTAGATGTTGTCAACAGCTGCTGTTACTGTGATTGCTAAAGACACTAAATGAACAAACAAACAGAATAAGACAATAGAACTCTATCAAGTTTCAGCCAGGTTCTGCAAGAAAGCATCTCAACTTAGTATACTTTGTTTTAATTGTACCAAAGTAATTTGAATCAAATTGCAAGAGAGAATAAAAGAGATAAACATACTTCTGATCAATTAACAGCCGAGGACAAGTTACGATTCTAGCTATGGTTTAAGAGCAATAAACCTTTTATTAGAGTTAGGTGAAAAATACCCTGCTACCAAGTCCTCTTGCATGAGATGTGTCCAGATTGCTATTGCTCTTGGAAGATCCTACACTTCTAGTGCTTTTACCATCTGGTGCATCTGACATGTTATCTAGATCACTATAGTCTGAATTGACATCTTCTGTAAGAGAATTGGTGTCTCTCCATCTGTTTTCATGAAACATGCAGCACGTTACAACCTTTGCAATCATTTGAAGAAAAATCATCAAGCTTCTCTTGTTCATGAACAAACCTCAAATTTGCTCGAGGAGTTAAGCACTGAATAGCGACCTGCAAACATAAGTTTTTCCTTCTGAGAGAGCAAATACAGGACTTCATCTCATAAGAAGGGTCTATTATACAAATTAAAGACCAGCAAAATCCTAATCCCATGACATGAAGAACATATTCAGACATTATGATCTAAAATCAGCCCACAAGCATAATGTACCTTAATAAGAACAATAATCTTTGCATAAGCTTCTCCGCATTTCTAAAAATACCACCCCAAACGTTCATAAAACTCAGCTTGAAGTATAAATCGTGTTACGCATCATATTGATGAGTATTAGAGCATCCCCCGAGCTTGTAGCAGCAAAATTTGCTTGATATATGGTCACCATGATGCAGAATTAGAAATCTTGTTTCTAATATCTATAAGGAGACATGATATACCACGTGTAAGTTACAAGTAGCCCCTGTTATGCCACCCAACCCCCCCCCCCTAAAAATGGCAGCTGTTATAAAGAACATGGTGGAGCTCTTGCACATAATTTGTGGAATTTGTACATCAATAGTTCCTTGACTGAAGATCAAATTTCATTTTATATGTTGAGAAGTGAATCATTCAGCTCATTTTGCTTCGTATGAGTGTAATAAAAAGGTGGCTCTCTTAACCACAAGAGTGGTGCCCAGTTGGTTTGAGCTTGGACTCCAAAGGTCAAAAGTGCCTGGAGGTCCCAGATTCGAATCCGAGGAATAAAATTCCCCTTGTAGCCACGGAGGTTCAAATGCGATGACTCCGGGCTACTTGCGAAGCGGGTGGTCGCCCTAGGATTAGTCGGCTCGCATAGCCGGTTGGATATCCAGGTTGATAAAAAAAAAGTGGCTCTCTGACATGAGGCATATGATCCACATGAAACAATGTTGCTTTTAAGAGAACATGAAGCATGTCCTTCTACGGGTGAACGTAAACTCTGTATGTCAGTCTTTATGAACATATATCAAAGATGCAAGAATGCACAGTCAGAAAAGCCACATAAAAGTAGTAACTTTACATTTTAAGAATCCAGCAAAGAGGTTACATTATTCCAAAATAAGACTTGTGGCATCCGAGTGACTCACCTGTAAGATTGTCCCATGATCGCACTTTTTCAGTGGTAGTGCAACGGGAAGAGAAGTTTCAGAACTCAAGTAACTTGACAAATTGACAGTAACCTCTCCAAGGATGCTAGATCTAGTTGATCCCTGCCAAAAAGAAATCATGAGATAATACGGAATAACTAGACTGCATCAATGAAAGAAGATTCAATTTTAAATTATAAACATAAATGCAATGAGGCAAGATAGGTGTCATACCTTTGAAATAAGAAGCTTATACAGGCATTGCTGAAGCTCTTTTGAAGCGTCATCATGGGAGACCCAAATGGATTCTGACAAGGTCTCGGTCCATCTACAGTTTCCATTGCATACGGATGCTTTACCTGTTTTGCTAACAGTTTTATCTGTTTCTATGGAAATGAGAGAGAGTGAAAGCTTATCCCATCCCGTGGGTACCTGCAAAAACAAAACCATAAAGACCGTTAAAGACAAAACTGTGGAAAAATGAATCCTTAACAAACAAGGAATCTTGGTTACAACTAAAACTGATAGCTACTTGAAATCTAACATGGGCCAGCTTGTCACAATATAGCTCTTCTTTCATCATTCTAACCAAAAATAGATTCCTGCAACTTATCTAAATACTCCTTTCCTCCAATTACTAAAGCAATTTGCTAGAAAGTTAAAAGTATTGACAAAAATAATTATGTCTCCATCGTGGTTAACACCCACTACAACTCACAATGTGTAGTTTCTTCATATGGAGTTCACTTTTTAGGCATCTCTAGAAACAACATGTAGACAAACATCATCATTTCCAGAAGACATATTGCCTAATCAAGCACTTGTCATTTGATTCCAATATCGATTTACTTCACTCAACATGAAAGATGAAACTCGACAAACAAAGAAAATCGCAAACTGCAATTATCAATCCCACAATCTTCATTCATTAATTTTACAAAACTTTTGAAACATCAAATAACCTTCCAAGGATTAGACAATCCATTATCCATACAAAGTAAAAAAAAAAGGAACAGTTAACAGTCGTGTAGTATGTATGAGAGAGAGAGAGAGATACCTGAAGAGCTTGAAGACTGGAGAACTTGAAATCGAGTCTTTCGCCTGGTTTGAAATCAACAGAGGAAGATGAGGAGGAATTGCGCTTGTGAAACCTATTCATCATCTTCTGCTTCATCATCTCCTTCATTCTGATTGAATTGGATTAGTTTATCGATTGTCTGATCGTAACCCTTTTGATCCGCAGTTCATTAACATGAAATTGAAAGAGATGAAGAGAGAGAGAGAGAGAGATGGAAATGGCGGAGTGTATTTCAGTTGCGACTTGTCTTCTTTGTCGTAGTGCTTCTCCAAATCGTCTCTGATATCTTTATTGCTTGCTTGTCGTTTCCTTTGGAAGACCCGCAATTATTCCTCCACTCACCCTAAATTTGTAGTAATAATAAATACATGCTTTAAGATGTTTTTTTTTAATTATTAGTTTAATTCAATTTTAGTGGATTTGGAGAATAAAACGTTATTTAAATATTACAAATATATTATGTTTGGTTTTTATTATAACATTTTTTAGCAGATTTTTCGAAATTTATTTTTAAAAAAAATCAAAAGTTGCAATTTTTAATAAATTATATTTATTTTTAATAAATTTTTATTTTAGAGAATATAACATTATTAAAATATTCTTTATTAAAATACTAGAAAAGTATTTGTGCAATACAGCGAGACACATCTCGATTTTAATGTTTTATTTTATTATTTGTCTTTGTCAATGTTATAATACAATTTTATGTGTTTTTAAAAAAAATAATGATTTTATT